TAAAATTTTCGGGTGTAAACATATTTAAAAACTTGCAGTTCAAAAACAGAATTTATGAGTATATTTATATGCATTATAGATTTCTGAGCTGAATGTTCTCTCATCGTGGAAGAAATACTTTCAGAGAGCTTTATTTTCTGTGTTTAAACCTTACATAAAATTAATCAGCTCTGCGGTTTTTTGAGTCTCTAAAACAGCCATTAAAAAAAATGTTATCAACATTTCCAAATAAAATAATTCAGCACAGTACCGATGTTTTGGTGAAATCAAAAACATCAAAGTTCTTAAACTTAACTCAAGGTTATGTTTACAGTTTCTCATAATTGCTTACAGCTTTGCCTAATTATGAGACTATGCAGTTGGACTAAAACAGTTTCCGAAATCACCTTAATTTAAAATTCATGATGGAGCTCAAAAGGGCAAAATATGAAGGTGTTCCTTATTGCCTGAAATGACTGTTTTTAGAAGAATTTAGCTCCTTTTCAGTTTATGCTTGATTTATCTCTGGGTTTGCTTGATAGACATTGGACAAAATTTGGAGACAAAGTGTCAATAACTGTTGGCATTTATTCTCTTGAAACATGTAACTTGTAACTTGCAGTTACAATCTGGAACTTTTTTGCTCCAAAGAAAACTTCAAAAAAGTATTGGCTCGCTCGAGGGATCGATCATTGAATCTGCATACGATTATTTTGCAATTATCATTTTACTTTGTTAAAATTATAATTAATTATAAGCGCCAAATTTAGATGATTAAACGATTTATAAACCAATATAACGATAACAATTTTTGTGACACTATAATAAATTATAATCAATTATAATCAATTATAATTGATTTTATTTTTTTCCGAAAATCCATTATAATCTCTTATAAACTCTTATAATTTATTGTAATAGATTATAATACGTTTTTCTGTCAAAAAACTCTAAAATTGAGATGTCTTGTCACTCTTTGGTTCATCTGAACTCAAAGTTTTACCACGAAACAAACGTTTTTTAGAGATTGCTTCATATTTTTTGAAAGAATCCCACGGTAGGTGAAATATAACTTCTCAATAGAAATCATGAAACAAAAGCATTATGCTGATATTTTGGTTGTCAAAGAAACTTGAAATGTACATCATGAAACAGGTATAATCAAGAAGAAATGAAAAAAATAAAAACATTAAAACTTAAATTGATTTGAAATTTGTTAAAAGACTTTTCCCATTTTTCACATAAACCAACGTCTACAAAAAGCATAAAATACAAGCACTTTATGTGCAAGGTCGAAGACAAAATGGGCAAACAAAAGGGATTATAAATAACTATAATCGGTTTTAATGGATCATTTCTGCAAAAAAAAATGAATTAGAAATTCGGATAAAAATAATCAATTATAATCGATTATAATGTATTTTAACTGATTATATTTGATTTCCAAAAGAGAGATTATAATCGATTATGAATTGCTAAAAAAAAAATTTTTCTAAATTTTTGTAAGACTGGTACTAGACTCACATTATAATTGATTATTAACGCTTGAAACTGGATCGGGATAAGCCCCGAAGGTTGTGCACACCAGTTTAGTAACCTACCACCTTAGTTATTAAATTGTTGTATACTTTGATGCTTAAAGTATTACGTGAACTAATTTTGTGGGGCGATTTATCCCGCTTTACAAAGCGGTTCAAAATTGAAATGAAGCAAGCTAATTGGTCAAATTAACTCCATGCAAGAATCAAGTGTTCAAAAGTTTGATACATTAGTCTTAAAATATAGTTTAAAATGTCGATAGTTCATGTATCAAAAATTATTTAAGGCCAGTTAAAGGGCAAACAGAACATTCAAAGACAATACGAGCGGTCTTTTTCCTTTTTTCGGAAAGTTTTAATGCTACCGGTTTCAAAATACGTTCAAAATATGTTCAATGTCAACCGTCAACAAAACTATTAGTAATTTCAGATACTGCCCTTGGCTCTGACAGAGATAACTAATCCTTTCATTTTCATCAAAAATGCTGAAAAGTAACCAGCTAATGAAAAAACGCCCAGAAACTAAATTTAAAAAAAACGACACCGTTTCTTATGTAAAAGGAAAACAGGATTTAAAATTTTTGAGTTCACGTCCGAGTTGGCTTACTCATAGTAATTTCAGATAAGGTCTGTTCGTCACACTATCTTATTTTCGGCCGGATAGATTCGTGCAACTTCTTCGTCGAATACCGATCTTAATCCTACTCGTATATCTCCTAGTCTCAATAGATCTAGTGTATACTGGTATTTGCGAGATAAGATATCAGGAACTGTTCTGAAGGAGGGCGACTGTTTGCTAAATTATCTTTATTTCGTTCTGTTGCTCAAACTATGAAGTGTTTCAATTTTTAATGTTTTTGTAGTGGAGGATGGAGGGCGAGATTCTTCAATTTAGAGAATAGATTCCTTTGAAGCAGTGACTGTGTGAATGAAGAGAAACACACAGCTGCTCGCTCTCGTTGTGTAGTAGATGTCTTCATGGAGAGAAGGGGTGCAGTCGTTTCTTTTTCAGAAGTGGGTCTCGTGTATTTTGACCGTGTTGAGTGATCGCGTTAGGGTCTCAGTTTTATGGAAGGATGTGTTGATTTCCTTAAGTTAGAGCGAGACTACGTGCATTCTCAATTTTCATCGAATAGCGAGGAGGGGTTTGACTTCCCTCTGTGAAGCGCCAAATGACAAGGATTCGTATGTGAGATCAACATCGAGTAGCCATTGTTCTTCTTCAATGGGTAGTTTTTAGTGCGGTCTTTCGGAGTTTTTCGTTTACTATTGAAAAATACTGATTGGAATTTTGGTTTCGGTTTTGTTGAGTATAATTGATTCCACAAACAAATACTTAAGACACTGTACCGCTCAAAAATGCTCAAAAAATAGGCGAACATGTAGAATCCACAAACAAAAAATAAGACATGCGTGTGGTTAACTTGAGCTGTTGCGGAATCCGCAACTGTAAGCGTAATTCGCAAATTGTAAGTGGAAACCGCAAACTATAAATGGACTCCAGAAATTGTAAGAGGAATCCGCATTTTGTTTGCGAATTCCGTTTACATATATGTTTATATGTAGGATTGCCTTGAAAAATCTATCTTTAATTTACTGGGTTATCACCAGAAAGTTCAATCTCAATTACTACATTGATCAACTACCAGTTGAAGTATTAAATGTTTGATCTCAATTACTGTCAACCCAACTCAAGTACTGCCCTCATGGTTTCATTAGAATTGGAATCTACTAGATAAGTATTTGGGATTGATACCATCCCAAATACTGACCTAAATCAGCGATATGCTGTGCGTTGTGTTTCCAAAACATAGTTTATTCGGTGCTGTGTTCATTCGGTGTTGTGTTTCCAAAACCAGTGTTTGGTAATGTTGCAGTCCCAAATACTGATTTAATATGGCGATATGCTGTGCGTTATGCTTCCAAACACTCTCAACTAAGTGACTCCAAATATTGAATTTGTTCAATGTTGTGTTTCCAAAATATTAAAATGTGACATCCACCGATTTAAATCACCAATATTTGAGATTTATTCGTGGATTCCGCTGACAATGATTAAGTCCTTGCTTTTAAATTCCGCATTGCTACAGATAAGAATGCGAGCTCTAAAATTTAATTATTCATATGCAAGTTCAGTATTAAACAAAATTCGGATTCCATTTACAGTTTGCAAAATTTACTTACATTTGCGGATTCCACTTACTTTTTGTGGAATCCACTTACAATTGCGGAATTCCGAACAACTACCTCTTTTTGCTTGTTGCGGAATCCGCGTCCAACACATGTGCCAATAAAATTTACGTTACAGCTAATTTCACGCGGAATCCGCTACATTTTGGAACATGTTTATAAACTTGTCTAAGGAATCCAGAAACATACAGACAATAAATTGTGCGCCTATCCAGTGCACAGTTTGGCCTCGTAATGATTATAGCCCAGCTTTGGTTTTTATTGAACATCGCGAAGGAAAGTTGGATTAGTTTTCCCAATCTAAAACGTTAATATATTTTTTCACAGATCAAATTCAATTGAGTAGAAAAAAAGTTCAAGCTTCAAACGTGACCCTGATTGTTCCGATTTCCTCTAAATTAATTTCAATTAGTTTTTGAAAAAACATATAGAAAAACTATTAATTTGGGACAATATTATAGATCAAGTGTGAAAATTCAATATACGATATTAATAGGAACCGACGAGCTCATCTAGCCTCAATTCAAATCGGAAAAGTTATGCTGTGCGTTACGATTTCAACATTATGAAAAAAATCTTCAGAGCGCGCATAACTTTGCTCAGAGCAGGGCCAAATTGGCAAGTTTCAAACTTCCAGATTTTTGAAAAAAATTATCGGCGGTACAATATCTTTTAAAATTTGAGTTTAGGTACTCCATATCTTCAATGGGCTAAGAAAAGTGTCTGCTAAAAATTGTTTTTTTTTATCGCCGAAAATTGACTAAATAAAAAACCCACCCCAAGCATAATTAGTCCTTTTTTTTCAAAAGTCGGAACAAAAAGAGCCAGTAATTGTTCCTTATCTTGAAATTCAATGGCCCTTTTCCATTCCGACCCCAAATTTCAAATTTTCAGTTTTTAATATTTTCTTACGTATTAATACGGCTGACTAAGTGATCATACAATGTTGAGTATAAAGCAAAAACGTGTTCAAATCAGTTAGTTTGTTCACCATGAAAAATTTTCATAATAAAATGACATCGTAAAAATAATGTTTCAAACTAAAAATCAAATGTGGGGGCGGGTAGTGGAAAAAAGCCGCTTCAATTTTGTAATTAGTTGATCAAATTGATCTTTTCCAGTTTGCCACCCCCCTAGTAAAGTTTCAAAATAAAGCTAATCAAAAAGGGTTAAAACTAATCAAGCTAATTTTTTATGTAAGAAATGTTGTGAAATTTTGTTCGCCTGTTCACGCTGACACGTTTTGATATAGTTTATAACATGAAAAGTCATTTTAAATAAGTTTTCTTTTATTAAACTTATTAAATTTTCGAAAAACCAAAAGGGACTGGAAAAGAGCCGACCGAAGGCTTTGCAAATTGAGCAATAACCAATCCAATCACATCTGATACTATTATCTAACAGTTTCTCATAACGCTACAAAAATAAAATTTTAGAAAAGTAGTTTATTCGTCAATCGTCATATAGGAAATATTGAAACAAAATAATCGTTTGTTGACGCTTACACGTTACAAGGCCAAATTGTGTACAGGATATGCACATATTTTAGTGTTTGTAGGTCTCTCAAATCCAGAGACAAATTTTTAAATAAGATAAAAATGCGTCCAATTGAAAAAAAGAAAGAAAAATGAATAAAAAGAAAGTCCGGCTCTTTCCCAGTCCCCCCATTCAAATTCAATTTTGAAAAGTCTATTTAACGTTGTCACAATAGAATGAGTCATAGTAGCATGCAAAACAATTACAAAAACAGAAAAACTTCAAAAGTGGGTACGATGCCAAGTAAATGTTGAAAAAAACTCCAGTTGGCTCTTTTCCAGTTCCCCCCTTTGAATTTTTATTTTGAAAAAACAATTTAACGTTGTCATAAAGCAATGAAGTTTTGCGTGATGAACAAATCGACAATTCTGAACAGATTTGTTCTTCATACTTTACAGCGTAACTTCACGCATTTAGCCGTAATCACATGTAAAACAAATATAAAACTCGTTATTTTGAAAGGAGGGAAACTGGAAAAAAGCCGAAAGTCCTTGTCGCGGAATCAGCCCACAAAATACACAATTTGGCCTAGTAAAAAAGGGTAAAATGATCAAGAGTCATTTCAGGAAACTTCTGTAATTTGTGTTTTAGAAAAAACCAAGGGAGGAGCTAGAAAAGAACTAATTTGAAATTTCGGTATTTGGGTATGAGAATAGGCAAAAATTGGCTCTTTTCCAGTTCCCCCCTTTCATTTTTTCTGTAATTCATTAAATGAAAGTCTTTTTAAAAAAAATTTTAAAGTTATAAACTGCAATAAAACGTGTCAGCTGAACAAATTTTCACAACATTTATAACATGAAAATTGCCGTGTGAACAATTTTTGAACATCTCTTTTTATAATTTCACAAAGGGGGGGACTGGAAAAGAGCCCGAAAATTGTCTCAGAATTGTCTTGCTGTATCTTTTTGTGGCGCAAGAAGGTGTTTTGGTTTTTGTTGCAATTTTGACTCTCGGTAAAAATGCTAATATTGATCAAATCTGTGGCACGTTTTTAAAACAAAAAATTTCTAAAAAGGCGGGAAGAAATACGCTCGATGCTTATGCAAATATCATTTTCTCTGTATTTAAATACTCATGCTAAAAAAGTGTCAACAAACGCGAGACAAAGCAACCTTCATCTTATTCTGTAGGTATGCAACTGCTAACAAATTGAAACTCACGCTAAAATTATTTTTTCTTAAATAATTGGAGGGCTCTTTTCCAGTCCCCCCCTTTTCAAAATACCGAGTATTATATTTGTTTTACGTGTTATTACGGCTAAATGCGTGATGTTACGCTGTAAAGTATGAAGAACAAATCTGTTCAAAATTGTCGATTTTTTCACCACGCAAAATTTCATTGCTTTATGACAACGTTAAATTGATTTTTCAAAATAAAATTTCAAAGGGGGGGGGGAACTGGAAAAGAGCCAATTGGAGTTTTTTTCACCATTTACTTGGCATCGTACCCACTTTTGAAGTTTTCTGGTTTTGTAATTGTTTTGCTTGCTACTATGACTAAACGCGTGCTGGACGGGATATAAGATATGAAAACAAACCTGTTCACAATTGATAGTTTGCTCTACTACAGGCCAAGCTTGACTGATTTGTGTCAAAGCTTAAGTAGTTTTTAAAAAAATTCCTGTTTGATAGAAACAGTTATTATGAAAATTTATAGGATCGCTTTTTACTAAAATTTTTTTTTCAGGTTACTTTTCAGAGACAGTTTGGAAACAAGTTTAGTTTTTCTCAAATACTACTCAAATTTCATTCAATTTTTTCGTTTTCTAGAGAACTGCATGAGAATCTCAGAACCAGGTCGAGGTAGCAGGTTCTGAGAAACATCTGTGCATAATTGTCTACATCTTTTTGTGTTGAAAATTGGGGTTTTCGAGAAAATTACAATTTTTCGAAAAATTTCACTCGCATGTTATTAGAAAAACAACTAAGGTTTTTGGTGAAGCCCAATTTTTGAATTTTTGAACTGACTTATTTCACGCATCCTAGTTGAAAGTTGACTGTTGGGGGAGAAGATCAAAGAGCAAAGTCTTTGTCTATTTTTTTCTTTTTACCACCTGCGAACTGACATGCTGACTAATTGGGCAAGACCAAACATATTTGTTCTTGATATTTAAACCTGTAAACATATCAGAAGTAGTTGGGTATCAGAAAAACCAGTTTCAGCATCCGAATTTAGATGAGAGTTTAAACCTTGTCTCTATTCCACTTCCCCCGCATTTCAGTTTTAGTTTTGAAAAACTACTTCAGCATTGCCATAATGCTACGAAGCTTGACATGGTGAACAAATTAACAGTCGTTCAAGATCGTACTATTTTAAACTGAATACCCGGGTTGACAAAAAACGCTAATCATACAATTTTCGTGTATTAAATTAAACTAATAATTAAATTAATTTTTTCTGATAACCAGAAAGCTTTAAGAGCGTCAAGTAGAAGGTGTATCTGAACAAAACTCATTAAAACCATTTTGAAATTTTGTATGAAAACTGTATGATGAGCATTTTTTTCCATAGACACCTTATATGAAATTGTATGACAAGCATTTTTCTTCTATGGACGTCAAGCCGGGTATCTTACATCGTATTGTTAATCGCTTAGCCATAATAACACGTAAAAAAATATAATTTGAAAGATAAGAGAATCAAATTGTGTTTTTACTTGATGTTCTGAAGTTCATTTGATTCATTTGACTAATTGCCTTGATATATCTTAAAACTTTTAGAAATGTCTTTTAAAGCAGTCATACTCATGTGTGGAATCACCTCAGTTTTTGCGCCTGCCTGTCGTTCTGACAGGGACTGCAAAGGAAGGCCGGGTATCGGGATAGTATACTGCAACTTGAAGCTACAAATATGTGATAGACTGGCCCCCTGCAAATCGTACATGGACTGCAAGAAGGGACAGTTTTGCAATGAGGCCGCCGGGGTGTGTATAGACGAATATGACGACAGAAAATTCAACTATTGAAGAAACAAAGCTTATTATAATATTGAATTTGAAACCTTTAACTTTCAATTTGATTTTAAAAATAAGGGTCTCTTTTTCCACTAGCCTCCCTACATTTGAATTTCAGTTTTAAAAAATTTATCTTACGTTGTCATAGTACAATGAAGCCTTGCATGGTGAACAAACTAATTATGTGAACTATCATTTTTCTCAAAACCTGGCATCGTAATATTACGCCTGCAGCTATAATAACAAGAGCACCAGCGGATTTAGGGGAGGGGCGGACGACCCTTCCCCTTGAAAATTCGACCCTCTGCCGGCCCAAAGGGTCCCAATTTGCAGAATTGTGAGATGTCCATTTTTGGCTGACCGACCCAAATTTTTTTCCGAAGGCTCCTTTGGCGCCAAACTATACTTATTTTGAAAAGAGAGCGCGCGCCAAAAAAAAATACGATTTTTTGGTCAAAATTCTCCAAAAAGTTCTTTCCTAAAAACTCTTTTTTGGCCTTTTGGCTCTTTTCCAGTCCCCCCCCCCTTTTTCAGAACACCGAGTTTTAGGTTTGTTTTACGTGTTAGTACGGCTAAATGCGTGATGCTACGCTGTGAATGCGTGATGCTACAACATATTCTAGGCAGTATTTTAAGAAATTGTGTGTTGATTTATAAGCTTGATTTTGCTGGCGTAATCTAAAACTTTTCCGCTATCAGTCGATCAAACTGCTGATAAAAAGTTTTTTGGCAAAAAAAATTCAGTTTCTTTGACAGCTTGACTTGGTTCGCAAATCGCACAAAAAGATTGAAGCGATAATTTAAAAAAAAATTATTTTTATATTGCTTCGATACCGCAAAACGATTGGCCTAAAATTGAATTTTTTTTATCATCAAGATCAAGCGATAAAAAATGTTTGAATACTTTGATATGTCGCTACAGCTTCAATTAAGTATCTACGAGTTAAATTTTTGTTCCGACCGTCTGAAATGGGTAAGAACTTCATATACGAGTGTGTTTTAGTTTTTTTTGTTTGTTTTGCTTCAATTTTTTTTATTCTCTACGCAAGTACCACAAATAATTATTGAAAATAGTCGAGAGATATATCTTATTGAAGCCATTTCAAATGTGATTCGAATGACAGTATTAATTTCCAAAAAAAATTCCAATGTTAAAACTGGTTAAATTTTTTGATTTTTAGTTTAACTTCGAGCGAGTAAAGCAAGCAAGCATGTTTTTTTAGCGAGGGAGCTTTGTAAATGGCCTAAACTAAGCCTTCAGGTCAATAATATTAAGTTAATTTTGCTTAATTTTATTTTTATTTAAGTAAAACTTGTTTTCGGAGATTTTAACGCCATTTTGAGAATCAAAAACTTCGAAAATTCAAAAGCTTCCGCAAAAATTGCTTCAATAGCTTAAATGGTTTGCTTAAAGAGAGTCTTTGAAGCAGTTTATGCAAAGGACGACTTTGTGGAACGTTTCATGTTTTTTGAAAGATTAATAGAATGAATATAATGACTGTTTCTTGGCATGTTTTGAGCAAGCTCTTAAGAAAATGAAAACCTCTAAACTATTTTCCAACTTTTTTTAAAGCGTAAGTGGAAATGCAAGTGTATGTTTTTAAAGAAAGCTCACCGGGCGAAAAATTGTACAAAAAATTTCATGTTGTTATTATTATAACTTGATTTGACTGACAGTAAAAAAAATTCAACGCTTTGTTTTTTTTCTCAATCAGACAGTTCATGCAAAAAACTTTTTCATCAAGTTATACAAACAAGCAACCTTTTGGAAAGACTTAATTGTAATTAATTAATGATTGAAACGGTTAGCAAAAACCT